AACCAAACCTGTTTCATTGATTCTTTGTATTGTTTTTGTTTGTTTGTTTGTTATTGATTTCACCCCTGAGTCCTGAGTTTGATTATTTCTTGCCATCTACTTCTTTTGGGTGTGATTTCTTCTTCTTTTTCTTTCTTGGTCATTAAGGTGTGCTATTAAGTTACTAGTATGTTGTGTTACAATATTTTTTTAATATAGGCATTTAGTGCTATGAATTTGCCTCATAGAATCAAATTTGTTTTGTTCCTCAAGTTTGGGTATGTTGTGTATTCATTTTATTCAATTCTAGAAAGTCTTTAATGACTCATTTCAGTACTTAGCTATTCTATTTCCATGAATTTGTAAACTTTTTGCTCTTGATATCCAGTTTAATCTATGGTAGTCATATAGGATGCAGGGTGTTATTTCAATTTTCTTATAGCTATTGAGACTTGCTTTGTCTCTGAGTATGTGGTCAGTTTTGTAGAAAGTTCTATGAGGTGTTGAGCAGAAGGTATTTTCTTTTGTGGTTGGGTGAAATGTTCTATAAATATCTGTTAGGTGGATTTGGTTTATAATGTCAATTATCTACAACATTTCTCTGTTTCATTTTTTCTGGATGAGTGCTCTATTGGTCAAAGTTGGGTATTGAAGTCTCCAACTATCAGTGTGTGAGGTGTAGAGCTGGATGAAAGTGGACTAAAGCTCAAGTTTTGGTCTCTGTCTGACTCTGTGAGTAACTTCTTTCAAAGAGATATAGACCTTGCATCATGTCTAGTTCTCTTTTTTTGTTAATATCTTGTAATTTAAAGGAAGGATGAATGCTAGCTATCATTCAAGTGCTGCTTTTGAAGCCTGAAGAACTGTGAAGTGATTTTGCCCTTTTCACTTTCAGTTCAAATACAGTATTCTGGTCCTGGCAGCTGGGAAGCAGCATGTGTACAATGTAGGGTAGCTGGCTGTTGGTCCTGGCCAGAGATGGAAGTTGGTTGCAACAGCAGAATGTCCCTGTATCATTTAGATAGTCATGGGAAACTGTTCACTTCATGTCCATGCCCTGGTAGTAGAGTTCAAACTTATTTTGGGTTTTGATGACCATACCACCAACACACTATCAGTGCAGGCAGCCAAGTTTGTGCCATCTGTGGTGTGTTTGTATCTAAAGAATTACTTGGAAAACTGATTACTCACTTATCTGTGCCTCCTGGCCCTCTAGTGTTACACCTAGAAAGGTGACTCAAACTTTCTTGAAAGTCGCTGTGAATAACCTGTGTAAATTCCCTCAGTATAGCACAGGAATCACAACCTTCAGTATCAAGAATCACACAGTGCTACTTGAATGGTCACTTCAAGCTCCCAGAGGCGCTCCCAGTAGTGCTGTGATAGCAAATGTTTCACAGCTGGCACCACAGGGGGAAATACTTGATTTATAGCATATGCCAATATTAATGTTAAGATAAAATATGTAAGGAGCTTAATAAAGACATGGATGAGGATGTAGCTTGGGAGTAGCATGGTTTCTTGACATGTGCAAAGTTTTGGTTGAAGCCCTGACACAGTCTCACCACTCTTCACTCAAAATTTTAGATAAAGTGTAGAAATTCCTTAAAAGGCAAAGATGATTAAAATCAGTGCAAGGGGGAAAAAAAGCAAAACAGAATAGTCCTGTTTGTATAAAACAAATGATTTCATAATTGCCATTCTAGATGGCTTTACTAGAGAGGTTTATTGTTGGATAAAGAATAAATACCACCATTGTTAGAAAATGTCCTTTGGAAAACACAGGAGGTGGTAACTCCAACTCATTGTTTTGAATCTGCTTATTTTACTCCCACCAAAGTCAGTCCATGACACCTTGAGAAAAATAGTAGATCAGTATACTTTTCTAGTATACTGATCCAGCAGCATATGTATAACTTATGAGAATCCAGCAGCATATGTATAACTTATGAGAATCAGCCATGAGTTTTTAGTCTGGCATTCAAAATCAGCTAATATGTTATTGAAATGACAGAAAGGCTTTTGGCAATTGTCTCAAAAGATGCAACAAACCATCTGAAAACTATGACCACTTACAGTAAATGAGTGTGTGTCTCCCAAGTAAACTTCTATGAGATCTTCCTCAGCTTGTAAAATGATATCTAACAAACAGTGCAACTAATTTCAAACTTTGCTGTTGAGAAGCTGGACATTCTGTCTGAAACATAAAGGCTTTCACTTCAAGGCTATTCAATTTTGTGCTAATGCCCTAAGTAACAGGGGGAAAAAAAAAGAAAAAGTAGTAAATTATATGTAGTTTATAAAAGTTTTATTATTTTGGATACACACACAAAATTTTTAAATAGCTACTTTACTAATCAAATTTAGTAAAGGCACAGGGAACAGTACCACTACTTACAACATATTTTTATAAAGTAACAACAGAGTACATAAAAATATAGTAGCGCACAGTAGTTTCTGAAAATATGAAGTACTTATATATAGATTCAGCAAATAGTGTGACTATCTGTACATTGTAAACTACAAATACTTCTGAGAGAACCTAAAGACAGCCTGAGCACATGATGGTATGCCCTGTGTCACCAGTAGGACATCTCAGTGTAGCCTGGAGGTCAGTTCTCAAACAGTAACACCGAAAACTCTGGCTAGCTATTTGTAGAAATTAAGCATCCTGAGATTATAACATTTAAATGTAAGTATAAAGGATCAAAGAACATCAAAACCATTCTGAGAGAACGGACAGTGTAGGAATATGTGGTAAGAGGAATTTTAATATGGTTCCAGGATGCTGAACCTAGGTTTGACATGTGTAATTTCTCCCCTTGAGTTGGGAAAAGATCTGTGATAGGAAGGAATTTAATTCTCATGATTAGATTGTGCTGTTTAGCAAAGTTGAAGAGATTTCCACTAATGGCTCCACACTGGTCTGAAGTGGCTCCTTGCCTATGTGTTTATACCTACACCAAATCCTTATTCTATAGCAATAAGAATTCTGGTCCTGGCAGCTGGGAAGCAGCATGTGTTTATACCTACACCAAATCCTTATTCTATAGCAATAGACATGACCTCACTACTTGCGTTAATCTCAATGTCTCTTTGATGATTCTAAAATCTTCTGGGAGATGGGCCTCTGGGGCTGCTTGTGGGGCATGATATTGATTAGGTTAAATGTGGTGGGAAGACCCACCCATTGTGAGTGGCGCCATTCCCTAGGCTGGGATCGTAGACTATATAAAAAGGAGAAAGTGAGCTGAGCACAAGTTGTTATGTTCTTTAGTCTGTTCATAAATCATTTGAACATTTTATACATGGGTTCAATGTATCTTATCAAATACACACCCCCTATTTCCCTTCTAACTTTTCCTAGGACCATGTAGCATATATCTTTCCCAATTTCATACCCTTCTCTCCAGTATCGTTAGTGTTATGAGACTGATACTTGCATGGGTGTGGGACCAGTCACTGGTTATGGGCAGTCTGAAAGTTGCCATATCTTCTGAGGAAAAACTGTTGTTTCTCCCTGAGCAGACATCAATTAATAATGACTATGTATCCAGAAATGGGTACTCCACAGCCCTTCTCTGGCCCATGCTGAAATTTTAATTGGTTTGATATTGTACAAGTCTTGTGGTTTGATATTGTACAAACCTTCTGTGAGTACTTGTGTATAGCAGCCATGTCATGTCTAGAGGACATTTTACATCATTCCTCCTCCTTCTTCTTACATACTTCCTGCCCCAACTTCCATGATGTTCCCTGAACCTTGGGGTGGAGGACTTGTTGACTGTGTAGACAATGTGAGGAGCTGCCTTATGTACCTGTTGCTACTGTGACCTTACCACTATGACCACTTTAATGGATGTAGCCTCCCACTGTGGGCCCAAAGAAATCTTTTCTGAAGTTGCTTTTGTTGGGGTATTTTATCAGAGCATCAAAAAGTAACTATTTAAGGCAAATTATTTATTACAAATGACCTTGGAGTCAGACCAGGGGAAAAAGAAATATTTGTGTGTTTGGACATGGAATTGAAATTTACTTGGGTATAGTCTAGAAGGGGAAGGGTTCAGGTTCTGAATGAGAATCCACTAGACCTGAGGTATCATCACTCACTCAAGGGGGAAATAGGGGGTATATGGTGGTAAAAGAGGCCTTTCAAAGAAGGGACATCCTCAAGGCCTTATTAAAATGTAGCATCAGATTACTGTAGGGTTAATCCCAGGGCTCATCATATCTGACAGATTTTTAAGTGATGTCGATGCTGTTGATTCATGGACCACACTGAGTATCCAGGCCGGAAAACATGTGCTTTGGTATGGTGTGGCTGCAGAATCAGCCATATTTGGATTGTTCTTTCTCAGTTGTTATATATATACAGAAAGAACCATGTGAAAATAGGATGTTCTATCCTTTGCTGAGAGTCTGGTTTTAACAGTGACTTTACATGAGGTATCTCGTGTAATTTATTGGTAAGTGTCCCTTCCCAAGTAGCAGTTTATTTAGAAAGGCTGGTGGGTCATGTCAGGATGCTCCTGTTCCACAGAGCTTCGTCATCTCAGATCTTCTCAGCTATCTAACTCACAGCAACATGAAACCCCAGCACCCTCTTTCTGAAATCTTTCTCACAGACTTCACAAAAGCCCTGGGAAATATCCTGGTTGGTTCTACTACAGAAACATGTTGTTAAGTCTCAGGAGAGCCATCAGCTTCGTTTTACATACTCCCATTGATTTCCTCACATTATCCTCTACAAGAGCCTCAGTTTATTACCATTTGGGCTCAGTCCACTTTCCAGTTTTCAGTGAGAGGGCTTCATCTCACAGTAGAGAAGGCTGACTACTCTGCCTAAGAGAACATAGTTGGAGACCAAAGAGGTTTGACATCCTAGTGTTTCCTAGTCATTCATTGAATTACTGATGGCTTAGCATAAATTCCAAATTCTCCCAGGTTTTTTAAACAAATAACAAAGCAGTTATGTGTTACAAAAGATGAACTTGAAACAAAAGATTTCCTTTTCCTTCCAGTTTGTTGTTGCGGTGTTCTGGACCATCTATGCCTATGACAGAGAGATGATATACCCAAAATTGCTTGACAACTTCATCCCAGGGTGGCTGAACCATGGAATGGTGAGTGCATTAAAAGAAGTCACTTCCTTTGGTCAAACAAAATTTACTAAAGAATTCTTATTTAATTCAGGCTTCCCATCATAGAGACTGAAGTATCTGTCAAGGCTTGGAAGGAGACAGTGAGACACTGACAGTAAGAGTCTTTCTGAAGGACTGAGTCACTTTGTGAACTATGTGGTAGATGAATCCATTGTAAGAGGTGCCAGGGGCATTAAATCATGCATCTAGCTCATTCCTGGATGAATGCAGTTGCTGTGCCATTAGAAGCTTGTCTTCAGATCTCAAGGATTCATATCCACCTACACAGCCGTTGGCACTTGTTTCTACCCCCACCTTGCTTCGGAGGGACTGTGTTGGATATAACGTTGCACTTGGGCAGATTTCCCAGATGCACAGCAAGGCTGCCCAGTGTTCCCTCCAAAATCTGTGGCAGACATTTGAGGTATCTATTTTTCTTTTAAAATGAAAAATATAAAATTTTAATAATAGATATCTAAAAATATATATTCATCATTGTATGCAGGTGCTTGTGTTGAGTTGATGTGACCCTCATGTGTACAGGTGCCCATGGAGGCCAAAGGAGGAGTTAGATTGCTGGAACTACACTACAGGAGGTTGTAAACCACATGGTGTGGGTGATAGGAGCCTGTCTCAGAACCTCTTTAAGCTCATAGCTGCTGAGCTTCTCCTTCACCCACTAGAGATATCCTCAGCAGTGGACTCACCTGCCTTGGCAAGGTCCGCTCTTGCTGGGAGACTTGCCTGAGATGTTTGCCCTCTTTCCTGCCAATTTCTTTCAGGTGCTTTAGCTGTGTCACATTGCTCTCATTTGTTTAAAATCAAATACTTTGGATGGTTTGTTTATCACTTTAAAAGATTTGTGGGATTTATTTTTTATAGAGTTGTGGATCCTCCTTTCAGCCACTAGAGTTGAGCAAAGTTTTTTTTTATTAATGAAAAGCAATTTTTAGAATAATACCAGGATGTTCCCGTTGAAAAGGGCAACCCATCACAGAAATTATAGGGGAAGCAAAAGCTAGAAATCATTAGTCTTGGGTCCAAAATAACAGTTCTTTCTGTTATTTTCCTTTTGTCCCCTGTTGTGGGACATTTTAAATAAAGCACAGTGTACTGACAAACAGAGGGGTTTCAACTCATTCTTTCTTAAAAGCAGTCCATCAAAAGTGATACACCTCAGGCAACTGGAATTTTTTTCTCAGATCAGTTAGAGCTGTTGAAGAATTAACTTGTTCTATTTTCCAGCATAAAACTGGTTCTTGTTAGTCTTCACCTTCTCATGCCCCAAATACCCTTCTTTTCTTCTGCAGACTCCTTTCCTTAGTGTTTCTATTGCTGTGAGGAGACACTATGACCAAGGCAACTTCCCCCTTTATTGGAAATAGATTATTTTCTCGAACAGTGTATCCTGATTACAGTTTCTTCTCCTTCTACTTCACCAGTTCTCCCCCACTGTGCCTCCTGCATATGTCCACTCTATTTCTGTGTCTCATTAGAGTAGAAAAGCTTCTAAGAGATAATGACAAAACATAACACAATAAAATATAATACGATAAAGCAAGAATCATCACATTGAAGTTGGACAAAGCAAATCATCAGAAAGGAAAAAAAAATGCCCAAGAGAAAACACAAAAATCAGAGACCCACTTGTTCACACACTCAGGAATCTCATTAAAATACTAAACTGAAAGCTTTCATATATGGAGAAAACCTGGTGCAAACCCAGGCAGACTCTGACCCTGCTGTTTCCATCTCTGTGCCCATGTGAGCTTTGCTCAGTTCATTTACAGGGACTTGTTCTCCTGGTGTTCTCTATCTTCTCTGGTTCTTACATTCTTTCTGCCTCTACTTTTACAAGGTTCCATGAGCTCTAAGGGGAGAGATGATGGAGACATCTCATTTAGAGCTGTGTGTCCCAAGGTCTATCATTCTCTGCATAATGTCTGGCTGTGAGTTTTTGTATTTGTTCTTATCTGCTACAGGAGGAAGCTTCTTTAATGATGGCTACATAAGTCATTGGTCTATGAGTATACCAGAATATCATTAGGAAGGATTTTATCACTACTTCGCTTTTTAAAGACCAGTAGTATTTGGTTTTATGCTATGTCTCTGGGCTATCTAATCTCTGGCTCTTGGTCACCAAGCAGTATGTGGGTTCTATCTCATAGAGGGGGCCTTAAGACAAATCGGATATTGGTTGATTACTCCCACAAGGTTTGTACCAACATTGCCTGGCACATTTTGGAGGCAGAACACAACTGTAGATCAAAATGTTTGTGGCTGGGATTGGTTTTCTATTTTCTTTTTGGTAGCCTGTAGAGTACCTTCCCATCTAAAGACACTCGAACATAGGCTCTTTGTATATACCAGCTTAACCTCTTCATGTTTAGTGAGTTGTGTGGGTCTTGCTGTCTGTTTGGGGAGAATAACCCATTGTCTTGGCAACAGCCTTTGGTTGTTTGGGGATTTCCAGGGGACCATTTTTGGCCAGGAATTCAATTGAATGTAATTTAGTCCCAGTACTGGAACTGGGTTTGGTGACAAGAGAAACCCAATTGAAATTCTGTCTCTCCCATTATTTGGATACTTCATTAGGATTGTTTTCATATAGTTTAGGAAGATTCCATTGCTCTAGATTTCCATGCCACCTGTTAAATGCCCCTTAATCCTAGCGTCTCTCCTCACATTCCCTTCCTCAACCCCATTGATGCTCCCATTCCCTATCTGATCCTTCATCCCCAATCTACTTCTATTCTGTTCCCCCTCACAGGGAGATACAGTGTCTCCACAATCTCCCTTCCTCTAGTCCTAATCTCTCTGGGTCTATAAATTGTAGCTTGATTATCATTTACTTAACAGCTAATATCCACATATAAGTGAATACATACCATATTTATCCCTTTTGGGTCTGGATTACCTTACTTATGATGATTTTTTTCTAGTTCCATTTCTTTGCTAAGGCAGCTCTTATAAATGAAAGCATTTATTTGGGAGCTTGTTTACAGTTTCAGAGGTTTACTCCATTATCATTATGACAGGGAGTATTGACACATATAGACAGGCTTGGTGTTGGAGAAGTAGGTGAGCATTCTATGTCCCAATCATAAGGTAACAGGAAGGACTGTGTGAGGACTGGGCCTGGCATGGACCTTTGAAACCATAAAGCTCACACCCAGTGACACACTTCATCCAACAAGGCCATACCTACTCCAATAAGGCCACACCTCCTAATACTTCTAATCTTTTCAAACAGTTCTACTTTCTAATGACTAAGCACTCAAATATATGAGCCTGTGAGAGCTATTCTTATTCAAAACACTATATTCCTGCTCATCTACTTAGGGACATTTATTTGATGTCTTCTTATGAAGCTTTTCAAACTCCTCAAACAAACTTAGCTGTTCTAGTTTTCATGTTTTCACACACTACCCTATATCTACAATATATATGTTTATTCCCACAAGAAATTTTAAGGTCATATACAAAACATCAGTCTTTGAATCTTTAGCTCTTTATCTAGATCCCTTGCATATGCTAGGATCAATACATGCTTGATATATTGGGGAAGGAATTAAGTACTGCCAGTTTTCACAATACTCTCCTACTTAAATTTAATTGCTTCTGCTTCTTCAGACTATTGTGTTCTGGGAATTCTACATTTATTGCATATTTAATTTTTCACAGTGCCACTATGAATAAAAAATTATCTCATATAAATGGAAAAACCAAGGCTCAAAAATTATATACTCACCCGCAAATCACTTAGCTATGGTGATAGAAATGAAATCTGAACTCATGCCTATTTGGCTTCAAATGTAATCACTTCTTTTTTTTTTTCTCATAGTACTAATTTATTTATTTATTTATTTTATTAATTACACTTTATTCATTTTGTATCCCCCCATAAGCCCTTCCCTCCTCCCCTCCCGATCCCACCCTCCCTCCCCTTTCTGCATGCATGCCACTCCCCAAGTCCACTGATAGGGGAGGTCCTCCTCTCCTTTCTGATCTTAGTCTATCAGTTCTCATCAAAAGTGGCTGCATTGTCCTCTACTGTGGCCTGGTAAGGCTGCTCCCCCCTCAGGGGGAGGTAATCAACGAGCAGGCCAATCAGATTATGTCAGAGGCAGTCCCTCTTTCCATTACTATGTAACCCACTTGGACACTGAACTGCCATGGGCTACATCTGTGCAGGGGTTCTAGGTCATCTCCACAAATAGTCTTTGGTTGGAGTATGATTTTCTGGGAAGTTCCCTGTGTTCAAATTATCTTGTTCTGTTGCTCTGCTTGTGGAGTTCCTGTCCGCCTCCAGCTCTTACTAGTTCCCACTTCTTACATAAAATTCCATTCACTCTGCCCATCAGTTGGCCATCAGGCTCAGCATCTGCTTTGATAGTCTATACTGCAGAAGCTTTCAGAGGTCCTCTGTGGCAGGTTCCAAGGTTGTTTCCTGTTTTCTTCTGGCTTTCAGAGGCCCTCTGTAGCAGGTTCCGAGGTTGTTTACTATTTTCTTGTTCTTCTGATGTCCATCCTCTTTGCCTTTCAGGATGGGGATTGAACATTTTAGTTAGTGTCCTCTCTTTTGCTTAGTTTGTTTAGATGTACAGATTTTGTGGGTTTATTCTATGTTGTATGTTTATATGAGTGAGTATATACCATGCGTGTCTTTTTGCTTCTGGGACAACTCACTCAGGATGATCCTTTCCAGGTCCCACCATTTACCTGCAAATTTCATGATTTCCTTATTTTTCATTGCTGAGTAATACTCCATTGTATAGATGTACCACAGTTTCTGCATCCATTCTTCAGTTGAGGGGCATCTGGGCTGTTTCCAGCTCCTGGCTATTACAAATAAAGCTGCTACAAACATGGTTGAGCAAATGTCCTTTTTGTGTACTTGCGCCTCTTTTGGGTATATGCCTAGGAGTGGTATGGCTGGATCTTGAGGAAGCGCTATTCCTAGTTGTCTGAGAAAGCACCAG